ACATGCGAGTCGCAGTACGACGGTGATTCAAAAAGTGTTGAAAGTTGCTTTTTAACGCGTAATATAATATATCTTAGCCATATAATGGAGACAGAAGTTGATTAATCTGCAATATCATCATCATCATCATTACCCTTCTCATCCTGGATCAGGATATAGGCCACGAACAAATACTTTCCACCTTTCTCTATATCTGCAACACGGCTGCTCTCGAACCAGCCACAGTAGTTTCTGGTGACGTCATTCTTGATTATTTTATGGCGTCAGAAGCAAAGAATCGTGTTCACTCGGGGGAAACTAGACAAGGTTAATAATAATGATGATAATAAAAATAATCATAATCATAATCATAAAAATAATCATAATAATGATAATAATAATAGACTGCATTTACATAGCTCTCTATCCCATACTAGTATAAGCTCTGAGCGCTTTACACCAATCACATAATCATTCACACTAGAAAATATTTCACAGAAACAAGAAAAACCAGTTCAACCACAGACAGAAGAACTTTCACAACCATACATTAACTGTATACACGAAAGGACAGTTAGAAACACTGTTCACAGAAGAAAATATTGATGTCATCTATTTATGAGCTGTAAACTTAAGGAATAGCTAAAACTAGTTCATAAACATGTGTAGATTGTTTGAGGAGAATCTTTATATTTGTACACAATTTACCGTAAAGTAAGAATTAAGTGAAGGGAGTGAAGTTTTATGTTCTCTGTCTTTGGTTATTGTCCAGCTTTCACAGACATTATAGAAGGATTGACCTCACATAGAATTTCAGAACTTTCATTTTGGTTGTCTTTGTGATGTTCCTCTTTTTCAGGATTTGGCTCAAATTTCAATAAAATGTGGAAAGACAGTAAAAATAGAATAAAAGAAACTGAGTCGATGTTTCAAGGAAGACTACTAACAATAAATTGGGAGTAATAAGTCAAATGAGGTAGTACTTGAAAAAGCCCACGTAAGCTGCTCGTTGATAAAACAATCAGGAAAAAAAAATATTTTCTGGGAATACTGGTATAGACACCACAAATCTAGAACACTTAGCTCTCACTGGCAAAATTAGAGGCAAACCAAGCACGGGTAGATCCAGATCAAACTACTTGGCATGCACAAACTGATGGGTGACGTAGAGAAATCTAAATAATATATTCGCTTTTTTAAGATCCTCCGAGCATAGGAATGAACGGAGAACCATGATGGCCGTCGTCTGTCACAGGCCTGGCACTTGATGATGGCAATGATGGGATACACTATTTGGAGGTTAATAATAATAATATATGTAAAACCCTCAACTAAAAAAATAATACAATAAAATAATCATTCACACAAGAAAAAATATTTCACAGAAACAAGAAAAACCAGTCAAACCACATGAAAAAGAACTTTCACAACCATACATTAACTATATACACGAAAGGACAGTGAAAAATTGTATATAGGTATATGTACATGTATATTAAAAATCAGAACTTACTAACACACATGTTCAACGATCTGGCCATCAAAAGTTCTTTGTGAACAAGAAAACTGACATTGTCATCTACCACCATATCGCGCACAGTCCCTATGCCTCTACAGGACAACTTAGTGACATGTGTGGGTTTCTATAAGGGTTGGTGCAAAATTGAAATAATAATGTTATATATCGTGGAGAACTATATATTATGAAAAAGTGTCTGCCCTTTGGATAGCCCATTTACTAACTGAAGAACGTACAATAGACAGGAAGAGATGTGTTTGAACTCCTCGGGTTCAGGGGACGTACAGACATTGTCAAATAACACGAGACGTGAATCCCTCTTACTATCATCTTTACTACTGTTGCACTGAATATTGGTAGATGGAAAACGAATCAAGCATGTTGTTTTTGGTCCAGGATTTCAAAGAAAATATATTCTTTTTATTCTTCTTAAATCAGCAAACCCATGTTCTTTCAGCACCAGTCTTGCTTCCTAGTCTCATTAGGTCCTGAAAACGTAGTACGGTCATATGGAAAGCGGGAACACCAAATTTGACCCCTGTCTCATACATGCCTGGGCTAAATTGGTCACTTTTAAGGACAAGCGGGCTAACCCTGATTTCGGGGGTTTCAAGAAATCTTGACATGCACCAAAAGTGGGCATTGCCCTACCTGTAGAAGTTTGGTTTCATTAGTGTGTATATTTGTTTGGTTATAGAGAAAACTCTCCGTGTCTTTTAAAGAAACTGAACTAGGGGCAAAAACTTTTCCGTCCATTTTCTCAAAACAGCATTTTTCGGGATACCCCCTTGTGCTTAAAAGCGACCAATTACAGTTAAGCATCTCACGACCATGCGTCAAAACAACCCTGCTTGATTAACAGCTAGACAGAGATGGCTCGAGTCAAGGTCATGTACTTCAGCACAGATAAGATAAGATAAGATAAGATAAGATAAATCGTTATTGTCCAGATCCTGGCACATTGGTTTGGTGTTTCACCACGTGTACACACACACACACACA